GGCAACATTTCATGGGTGCGCCGCCGCCACCTTGACGTCACGTGACCCTGCCGCCACAGCCGACCTTCAGTTTCTCGCAGTTCTCCGCGTTGTGTGCTGCACCGGCCACCACCGGAGCTTTGTTCTCGAGTTCTTTTACGTTCTGCGTTGAAATCGTGTGTTTGCTTTAGGTCCTTTCGATATTTCGGGCTTTCATTTAATCATTTGATACCGACATTTGAACATCGCTCTTGTATTTTCTTATTTATGGAATGGAATCGGACAGCGAATGGATCGACGATACAAGATTATGGCCTAGGCTTCAGAGACCATTAAGTTCATCACATTTTGTTTTTATCGTTAATAAGGGCAGTCAACACCATTGCGACACATAAAAATTTCAACTGACGCTGTAAGGCTATCGCAGTCGTGCTTCTTGCTGCATGTGCGAACTTTAGACATCGTTTCTGTAAGTAAAAGCCGAACCGCATGTAAGTGCTCAAGCGAGCGGCGAGACGAGCAACGGTGACAACGATGAGAGTCAGCGACGAAGATTTCTCGCTGTCGCCCGTTGCATCGCTCGGTTTTTGGATTTCTAGAGAACGTCGCTCGTCGTTTTGGTCGCTTGCGTGCGGTTTGCCTCGTCGCGCGACTGATCGAGCGAAAGCGAAGCGAGTCGCTTGTCTCGCTGCTCCCCAAATCGCTTTCATGCGGTTTTCTAGAAATCAAAAAGCCGAGCGCCGCGACGGGTGGCAGTGAGAAACTTTCGTTGCTGACTCGTCGTTGTCTCTCGTCTTGCTTGCTAAAGCGCTTACATGCGGTCCGGCTTTTATCTACGGAAACAATGTCTAAAAGCGCGCACATGCACCGAGAAGCACGACTGCGATAGCCTCACTGCCAAAAATTTGGGGGTTTTGCGTGCCAAACCAACGACGGGCATCTGGAGATAGCCTCACTGCGTCAGTTGATATTTTCATATGTCGCAATGGTGTTGACTGCCCTTTATTAGCAACAAAAACAAAAGAATGTGATGAACTTACATGTTCTCTGAAGCCAAGGCCATGATCTTGTATCGTGATCCATTCACTGTCCGATTCCATTCTATAAATAAGAAAATACATCTATATTGAAACTTAGGTATCAAATGAATAAATGAAAGCCTGAAATATCAAAAAGACCTAAAGAAAACACTCGACTTCAACGCGGAACGTAAAAGAACACGAAAACAAAGCTCTGGTGGTGACCGGTGCAGCACACAATGCGAAGCAACGGCGACAAAATGAAGGTCAGCTATGGCAGCCCGTTAAGCGCACCGACTGGTGGCAGCTCGAGTAACTGACTCCCTAAAAGCATCTATACAGATAAAAACTGACACCTGCTGGCAGAACACTGTAAGGTCAAAATGCACTTCCTCAGAAACCAGTGCCACTAGTTCCACAGAGAGTGAAATTCTGTCAGACAATGACACTAAGGGTGCACCTCAGACAAGAGTTGTTACCCTGGTATTTCATCCAGAAGGTCACCTAGCAATTCACTGTGTCCATTGTGAGTGCAAGTCCAACTTAGAAAAAGACTAGTGCCATGGGCTGCTACAAGACAAAAGCAAAGAGGAAAATTCACAATGCCTTCTTGATGAAATCCTAGAATAACAACTCATGTGAGCCCACCCTCATTACTAATACATGACAAAGAATTCCACGGTCTGCAGAGCCAATGACGCTCGTTTCTGGGGGAGTGCGTTCAGACGACGCATCAGCCCACTTCACATGGCGCAATTTCGCTTGCAAATTTACACCTGTGACTGCAGGCACTGCAGCTTCCCCCATGCCTATATTTCGCTGCATGAGTGACGTCACAACAGCAAACTCTCAAGTAAAGTCACACCATGCGAATCAGGTTTACAGTGTTCACACAGCATGTGTTACTCCCTATCAGTAGATATATTTTTTTTACCAAAGTAAACTATTCAGTTAAAAGTTAAGACGTGTCCTGCCCAGATCTTCCTTCATTTCGTCTGTGTTTTTTGGCGTATTATCCAGTCTTGAGGCATATCAGTGTCAGGTGTTTCTCTTTGTCGCTCTAGTAGGACTCGGGCAGGGTGGGGAAACAGTCATGTGTCAATAATATGGATACTCTGCTATATAAAAACCGTTTTCGGGGACCAACCGGGTAAATACCTGCATTTTGTCCTGTTATTATGCACAGCTCACATTATGGACGCTTTTGGGTAGGAACGGAGGTGTCCATTTGCATGAGACAGCACTGTCATATTCCCTAGTGTTGAAATTAATGACTGCACGCTCTGAAGCCACGTAGCAGGTTTCTCCACTGAACACTAATGCGTAGCGGTGGCATGGCAGATGTTTGTGGCTGCAGAACACACCGCAGGCAAATGATATCCAATGTGGACAATCATGGATATTTGACATTAGAATCAACCAACAAATAGGCCTACATGTTGCTGTCACAGAATTGAAAGATTTTTTTCTTCGTGTGATTCCGTTTTGAGTAAGATGCACAAGTGCCGAAAACACGAGCTCGGAAGAGAAGAAAAAGAAAAAAAGAAGGAAGGCGGAAGCTGCATAGAGCTAGGCTTCAGTGGTTGGAACAACAAGCAAGGCTTCAGTGGTGTGGGAGGTCGAACCCCGAACAAGGCTTTGTCAAGATGGTTGGTGGGCCCTGAGCAAACTTCGACGATGTGCATGTGCTTGTGAGCGAGCGCTGTTCGGCACTATAAGCACCCAAGCCACCACAAGTTCTCGACTCCGACTGGTGCCGCAAGGGACTGGGACCACCACCGACATCTTGGGACCATGATTCGACTTTCCTCATACGAAATGTATAGCGTCTTTGATTTGGCTTCTGTTCCCTCCTTGTTACGCTTTCGAAGCTTTTGTGATTTTCTTGCCGCTGTTACGAAGAGCAGAAGGCTTGCAAGATATGTTCTTTTCCTTTATTATTTTCATTTTTTTACGACCGTTTGTACGTCCTGTGCACCTTTTCTTTAATTTTGATTTTCATTACTCATAAATAGTGTTTTGAAATGCCAGGTACAAGTCACTCTCAATTCCTACCGCCTCTAAGGAAGTCCATCACCTAGGTGTGGCCCTAGTACCTGGACAGCGGTCCAATTCAGATTACAAGTTGGTTTGTTTATGGCATCTTTTCCAACCGAACCTGTGACAAACTGGCATCCACTACAGGACTTGAACCTGTCACAAGTTAGTCACATGTTCGGTTGGAAAAGATCCCATAAAAACAAACTTGTAATTTGAATTGGACCGCTGTCCAGGTGCTAAGGCCACACCTAGGCGATGGACTTCCTGAGAGGCGGTAGGAATTGAGAGTGAGTCGAGCCTGGCGTTACGGAACACTATTTAATAGTAAAGAAATTCAAAAGTTAAGAAAAGGTGCACAGGACGCACACACAGTCGTAAAAAAAAAGGAATAAATAAAGGAATAGAACATATCTTGCAAGCGTTCCACTCTTCATAACCGCAGAAGGAAAAACACAAAAGCTTTGAAAGCATAACAAAAGGAACAGAAGCCAAATCAAAGATGCCATACATTTGGAGGAGGAGGAGAGTCCAATCATGGTCCCAAGATGTCGGTGGTGACTTGGGTGCTTACAGCACCACACAGTGCTCACTCACAAGCACAGGCACATTGTCTAAGACTTGCTCGGGGCCCACCAACAGTCTTGACGAAGCCTTGCTCAAGGTTTGACCACCCAAACCCACGAAGCCGTGCTTGCCGTTCCACCGGCCATAGCGCCGATGCCTTGCTTCGCGTTCCACCACAACCACACCGTGCGCGGGTTCCATCTTCTTTCTTCTTGATCCCTTCCTCCGAGCTTGTGCTTTTGGCACTCGCACATTTTGCTCAAAAAGGAAACCAGTAAAAAGAGTACAATAACCACTGAATTCTGTGAGAGTTGTTATGACTGTGAATGTCTAGAGGGCAAAGTTGACATTTGCAACAAAACTTGAAATAATAAGGCATGTGGAGAAGGAGACAAAAAGTTTTGTGTCACTGGAGCCCACAAGATCTTTGTAAACTACTCAAGAAACGGTGTGACATAAAAGCGCTACAAAACACATTCTGACGCACGGCATGTTAAGACATCGAGAAACCACTACAGAGGTGGTTTAGAGATGTCGGGGCAAGCAACATTCCTATATTGGCACAAATCTTCTTAAGGCATGTGAAAAACTCATTTTACTCTTGAAGTGAAGAATCTTCTAAAAGAATGTGAAAGATTCCTTTTACCTTGATGTGAAGAACTTCATTGCAAGTGGATAGCTACATTAACTTAAGGGCCACCATGGCATAGGAGAAAAGACCATCTAAGGGATGGATAGATAGATGCAAACGGCTGTACCTTTTGTAACGAGCAGTAGTGCCAGTGTATGTGATGGGACTATTGTGGTGGCAGTGCCAGCGTCGAAAGAGAAAGTCAATGGCTCAACAATCAATTGAAGCCAAGTATGAAACCAGAAATAGTTAAATGCCTTGCCAAGGAAATTGGCCTGCAGTGGCAAAAGCATCCCTGGCAAGCGATTCACAGTTCGCATGGAAACTAACAGAACAAGGCCCAGATATCAGAGCTTTTAAAAACCAACACGGATGGCACCACAAAAATGTATTCTTAGTGATGGGAAAGTTTAGAATGCCAAATATTATGAGCTGTTGCAGTAAAACCATCATATACGTATGAAACATGAAATCATGGATGACTCGGGATCTCTTTGGCTGGGTCTTTGGTGGCTCGTGGACTGGGAAGCCGAGTTTGTGGATAAGCGTCCCAGCGTGTGCTTACTTGGTGACATGTGCCGCTTAACACTATCCAGTTCCATTCTAGCAGCCAAACACGACATCCAAGCTACATCCGTTAGACCAAAGCATAATTCAAAGGTAGTCTAGATTGTGTTTACCATTTATAAATGTCCAGGCACGTCTGCAATTTAGCCCATCCAGAGGCTTTCGGAGACGGTCACAAGAGCCAGCAGCTTGCTTGGGCAGCTCACTGTCAGCCACTCTGTCCTTCCATGCACCGTGCCACCTCCATGAGCTCCCACTGAAAAACAAAAAAAAAAGCAGAATCGGAAATTATACCTGCAATAAGAACATCTCAGCAGCAGAGGCTACGTTATGGTGCCTGGAATGCGCCTCCAACTGGTTCGTTTAGTGTTCTATATAACCCATGTACCAAAAGTGGTCTCTAAGCGACAAAATTAAATGACACCACAGGAGCTGGCATGTCATGCTGTTGGATGTTGCAATTCTGGCAGTTAGTCGTACAACTTCTGGCAAAAAATATATGAGCTAACACAGCTGTCATTGTCCTCGCAACATTCAAAATCCTGGCTGACAAAGCTTCTATGGACTGTCAAGCTGAGGGATACCCTCTCTGCCCCCCTCCCTTTTCCAGCAGAAACTACCTCAACTGTCATGATGTTCACAGCCCGGAAAAGATCCCCTAGAAGTTTATTCAGGAGCAACTAGGGTAGCTATAGAGACAAACTCTCGCACTATGAAGCCATTCCACAAATCTGCCATAAGCAGCAGCAGTTCGTTGAAAGTATAAAAGTTTGCCTTGTAAATACATTTCGAGATGAAGTTGCATCTCTGGATTCTACCAAGACTCTAGTTTCCAGCAAAGATTTACGTTGGCAGGCCGGCCGAGTTGCTGAGTAGGAGGAAGGTGCATGTGTCACACCACACGTGTCTTTTGCTTACATTCAGAGAAAGGAAGGCTGAAATTCCCTGATCGATACTGATTAGGCTGGAAATCTTGAGACTTTTCCAATTGCCGAATTTCTCAACAATACCAATTTTCAGCTCATAGAAACCCTGCACAGGTTTGAGTCAGGTACTAACGGCCATTAACAACTGCGTGAATTACTGTACACATATGCGGTAACTATACTAAAGCCCAACTTATTCTAGTAACGCACAACGCCATAAAACTACCAAAAAACACCGAGCATGCACCCGCGGCAGAGTATGCGCTCAACCCCTACTTTTGAAACATATCAACTCATCTAAGGACATATTAATGCCTATTCCTCTATTTTAAGCAAGTTAAAAAAATATATGAAAGAGACATCAGGCACCCTGTCGCCATGGGCGTTTATCTCCACGACTGGCAGGCAGAATGGGGATAGAACAAGTAGAACAGCAAAGCAGGAGAGGAATAGGAGGGGTGCAGTCGAAAAGAGCTAGAAAGTGATATACTTGGGGACAATGTTCCGTGGCAATGAAGCTAAAGCTAGAGAGCCAAAGGACACCATTTCACTGCATAGCTGAATATAGTTCAACCATAATAATTTGCTGGGTGGAACGTAACCAATTAAAATATATGTAAAATTGTTCCGTTTAGCTTTGACTTTAGAATGTTAGCATAACATTGGCCAGGATGTGCCAAACCTAGAGCATTTCCTTTTTAGCCATTTTGTGTTTTCTTGGTTTAAATTCACCCTAGGTTTTCTAGCTCCCTGCAAAATTAAGATGGCATCTTTATCATGCGCATCTTTGGGCATCATCAGTGCGGTTTATTGCAGGCACACTCTGTGAGCTCCCCCTTTGTTTGACATGTAAGATTTTTATGAAGTTTGGCAACCAAGATATCTTAAAACAAACCAAGCAAGTGGTGTGCAACATGTATGACAAATGGGACAGTGGGAACCGGGACTCCTAGTTGTTTCCGTATGCCGGTTGGCTAGCAAGCTCACTGGTGTGTCTGAGCAGGGGTGGGGACGGAACTCAGGACCCCTGGGTTCTGCAGCGCAATCCTCGCTACACATATTCTGAGCTGTGGTGTGCCAGCGACCCCCTAGGTCCAGCCATAACTGAATGCGATCCAAATGGAATGCGACTTCGCGTCGTGGAGTGTGCGTGCTTCTATTTCTGTATATTCCTCCCGCGCAATAGTTTTTCAGCACCAGAAGAGTTTACAGATAACTGACCTCAAAACGCGGCAGCACTCATGAAATTCGTTCATGTGGCAATTCGGGTCAGGTGGTTCATGATCATTGACAAGCGCCAAAAAATAGACAGGGTCAAGAAGTTGCCACTGGCGCACTCGCAACTAACATCATTGAAAAAAAAAACAATCTGTTACATTGCTGTGAGAAATGTCAATCATGATTACAACCAATGTAGACCTCTATCAAGAAATTCATATTCTTTTGCTGATAAGGTTATGGATGTGTCACTTGTACAACTCGTGCCTATGGCTATAATCTCAAACACCTCGTGTAGCTTTTTCTAGACATTTTATCTGGGTATCTGGCCAAAAATTTGGTGTCATTAAATGACGGGAAACAAGGGCAGCAGCTGATGTGTGTTGTCGCTGCAGCAGCGGCCCTTGGAAAAGACAAATGCAAAACTAAACAGTGCAAAAAATTCACAGAATGCACAACCAAAGTTGTGTACGGAATCACAATGTCATATGGTTCTGTGTACACGGGTCAGACAGGCCTATGTATTAATGATTGCGCCCGCGAACGCGAGGTGGCCACACAAGCGATCTCCATCACGACATCTGGCCACACACTGCAGATGCTGCTTTTGCTCCCAGTCGTTTAAAGACGCTAAATTTTTGGCCAGATACCCAGATAAAGAATCTAGAGAGCTACACCAGGCGTTTAAGATTAAAGCCAAAGGCACCAGGTGTACAAGTGACACATCCATAACCTTATCAGCAAAAGAATGAATTTTTTGATAGAGGGTTGACCAGTTGTAGTCATGACTGACGTTTTTCACAGCTATAATAATAATAATAATAATAATGTTTTATTTGAATCATGCCCCAGAATGACCACTAGGCCATAGTGTGGTGGCACATAAAATGGTAGTAGATGACTTAACACAATGTCTTCCACTTGTAAAAAAGAACAGACTAACATGCAATCACGAATTAAAGATAAAAATTTAGCTCCCTTCTAAACACTGATATATCTGAAAAGATATCAACATGAGAGGACAGTTCATTACCACAAATCTGCATCCTTACCACTTACTATATAAGAAATTTTGTTTTCAATAAATGTTAGTTGCCGGTACGCCAGTGTTCACGTCAAATTTTTGTCTAGGTATTTTTCCGGCGCTTATCTATCATGAAGTTCGCAGCTTTTCCTGATCCGACACTGCCTATCTTCGTCAGCTGAGAGACAAATTAAATTCTAGGAGATTGAACACGGTGAAATCTACCTTGCAAGTCTGTCCGAGTGCTTCAGTCAAAGTGTTGGCTTACGCTTAAAAACGGGTGAAGCCTTCAGAAATAGATCTGAATATGCCTGCATGCTCGGCGATCGCGGTTCAGCTCCCTCAACCGCAATCCTCGTACAAAAACATGCAATGAAGCAACTGCGTGGTTGACACGCCAACACCCTAACTGATCTTGGGTTGCCAAAGGCATGGTAGCGCTTTTTTGGACGAGGACAAAAGAAAGAAAGACAAGACAGACACGAGCGCTGACTGCAACTATTTAATAGTCAGCGCTCGTGTCTGTCTTGTCTTTCTTTCTTTTGTCCTCGTCCAAAAAAGCGCTACCATGCCTTTGGCAACCCAAGACCAATACCAACTAGCCCAACACACAGCTTTGATAACCCTAACTGAAACTGAGACAAAAAAAAACAAAAAATGATAACTATTTGGTGCACTAACACAGAGCCTTTGGCACTGCCTGCCTCCCCCCCTCCCTAGTTTTCTCTTCATTGCCAAAGAAAGTTGTGCCCAAAAAAAGATGGGTTGCTTTTTTGTTCTAACTCGGAAGAATAAATTTAAGGCTTTATAACAAGAACAAGCAAGTGCGTAAGCAACCATTCTTTAGAATGTTAATTTGTAATAAAAAAAAAAGAAAAAAAAACAGACTGTTTGTTTTTATGTGTTTGCACAGTCAACCAGCTTTGCAAATGGCAGCTGTTTGTAATTCCGTGGTCAGACCAAGGGACCACCCGACCATGTACACCTGTGCTTTATTACCTACCCTATCCCCCAGCTCTCCATGGTCATCCCCAATGTAGAGTGGGCTTGGTATATTACAGTTTGGAATGGTGTTATTTGTTTAGGAAAACAAAAGGTCAGATAAATACCAGCAGGGCCCTGCGGAAGCGGTGCATGGGCCCCGTTTCACTTTTCACAAACCATCCTGTCTTGAAAGGCAGCAGAGAAACAGGTTGGGCTGATTCGCCTGCAGGCCTTTGCTGAGTTGATGGCTACTATCCAGACTGGCAGCTGATCGGCAGCTTCCAGCCACCTGCAGTTTTTTCTTGATGATACAGACTTCCTGCAATACCATGAATAAGAATCAGACTGATATTCTGGAACAAACAAAGAAACCAAAACTTGCTTCACAGATCAACAAAAGAAAAAGTGCCAACATTACGCTTCTCTTGTTGTCGACAGTGCAAAGACCATGATGACAGCACCATTACACTCAACCAAACAAGGAAAATGAGCTTCTTCATAACGTAATTGTATTAAGAACCAGGCACGCAGCCGGAAAGGGGGGGGGGGGGTAGGAGCCTACCTCACCTTTTCTTTATTACCTACCCTATCCCCCCGCCCCCCCCCCCCAAAATCGTCCATTTTGCTGGGCCCTCCCCCCCCCCCCCCCAAAAAAAAAAAAAAAAAATTTCTGGTGAAGTGTTTGTTAAGAACAATGTGCATGTAGAGCTTAGATACCTACTGGTACCTTAAGAAATCCCAGGAAGCTAAAAACAAATTAAACACCACTTAAAAATAGCACAGCTCGCTTGGTAGGCACATGCACAGCAATCAACAAGCCTCTTGACATGTTCTGCAGTGCAGGGATACAGATTAAAAATAAACAACGGGGATGTGATCGATATCCTCTGGGGCAGTGCAATGCGCAAGTTTATCCTGAAGCTACTGTTTGCGCATGCACCTAAGAGGCGTTAGAGCTGGTTCACACTGTTGCAACTGACTACGACCGAGTTGAACAAAACAGGGTTTTAAGCCGCTTACGACTGCCATTATTACTGCTGGACGGCGTGGTCATAAGCCGTCACAAGAGGCTTAAAGACTGGTTTTGTCGGAGTCAGTCCTAGTCGGTTGCTGCAGTGTAGACCAGCTATTAGACTAAAATTGTATCCAGCTTTGGGTCTTTCCACAAATGTTTTAAGAGACTCCCTTCAACTTTACCAGGGCCTCAGGTATTTAAACGTTGTAGTAAGTAGGGAGCCATCACATTCAAAGCTGGATCTCCTTGCTTTGTATGTGTCTCCCCAGTACCACTAAACGTTCTATACCAGATCAGAGCATTTTAATCAAATCATTCAACCTCTTTCCTCAGCCATGTAAACTACTTGTGCACCCACGAGTTCTACAAGTCACGAATGTAGCCGGGGTAAATTAAAACGTCGCTAAGGCAAGCAATAATAATCATTATTAGCGACAGTAGTACCCTGGGTGGCTCGCAAGGCTAGACATATATGCAGGGGCCCGTACGCACGATCGTCTGCTAGCCAATCAACCAGAGCAAGATGATCAAAATAACAAACAGGCAGCAAGGGAGAAAACAACAAGAACGATGAGACTAAGAGGGCTCGGTCAACACTTTTAATACCCGTGCGACACGGGCAACTCGAATGCCATATACAACGAATGACAATTGTGTGATCGGCGAATCAGCTCGCTATCTGTCACGCGTGGAATGCGTCACGCCCGGAGTGTCGCGCGCCGATTGGCCGTCCGCTCAAATGTCATTCGTTGTAAATGGCATTCGAGTTGCCCGTGTGTCCCAAGTATAAGAAACTCAAGGCCCGAGCACCTCAAACCCAACGCCACGCACCGCACGCCGGCGCGAGGCACACGCCGTACACGAGCACAACGACGACACCCAGTTAGGAGCGTGTCCTATCAATACGCCAAACGCCAGCGCCAGTCGAACCGCGCCATCCCGCTGGACGCGGCATGAAAACCCAGAGCGCGCGGGCCGGGAGTTTCAAAACATTGGGCACAACTCAACGCTGCCGCTAGCATGAAAAAGGACGAGACGACACGCAATCAAGCGTTTAACAACACAGAACAGTTCACTGATAGCAACGCGTACTTTAGAAACAATCTAATCAGCGTCTCTGCAGTGCTCCGGTGTCGCAGAGCATTCACGGGATTCTCAAGATAGCGGCACGGCGGCACCGCGGCGGCGCCGCCGCCACCGCCGGTCAGTGCTAAGACGATTTCACTTTTTTCGACTCAAATCGTAGAAAAAAGTGAAAAATCATCCGAATTACGGTGGCAACGTGAGCTACGTTGTTCCGAAGATGATCTAGCATATCTGGATATTCTTCTAGCATGCATTTTGAATATGAAATCGGCAAAACTTACCTAAACTCGGATCGACCGACGCACTCCGAGAAAGGCCTTTGTGTCCTCTCCGGAACGAACAAGGATCCAGAAGTTGCTTGCGGCTTTGAATTGGCACGAAGCCAAGCCAGCCAAGGCAGCCAAGGATTGAAATACGACTTAATAGTTTCGGTTTCGACCCCACTCTCTCTCAGTCCATATTTCTGGGGCCGGTGTCACTACGGTTGACATGACTGCAGTTATCGTACTCTATACGAACTTTGAAGTCAATCGAATGCGAGCAAACATAATTTCCCAGCTTCTTCTCCTGTTATACGTTGCTTGATAACCTTTGTTTGCTGATTGGAATCTGCATCAACTCATGTCCATCTGGTCCTTCAAACAAACGGTGTTCAATATCTTAATTCGACTTGATTTCTTATTTGTGAATACATGTAATTGCTTAATCATTCACTGGATATCTGTTTTAAGTTTTTATTTTTTTGCTAAGAAAATGTACGTATTTTTTAAGTTTTTTTTTTTTTTTTTGGTTTGGTTTGAATTACAGGCCGTGTTTTGTGGCTCAGTAAAACAGGTTGATTTGAGAAATTCAAGATCATGAACAGCCGACAATACACCAGTGATGTAAATACAGTGGAGGCGGGAGAAGCGCACCCCCCCCCCCCCCTTCCCCTCCACCTTAGAAAATATTCCTGGCTGCGTCGCTAAATGAGCATAAGAGGCACTGCGTTTTTTCCCTTATCAACATACACACAAATCGAAGGAGTGAGAAGCTGCTTCATCTGAAAACTTTCAGTTTTGAGATGAAGCAGCTCCTCCCATCTCTTTCCACTTTTGCAGAGCGAACGCTCGGGAGGAGCCGACCCCCTCCCCAGCGTTTACTTTCAACCTGCCAACGAGTATGGCTGTATTTTTTTTTTTTCGTGGACCTTCTAGATCGCTACAGCTTCAGTGCATACAGCGGTGTAATCCACTCGCTAACTTGCTGTGCGTGTCTAAACAGAAGACTTGTTTCCCTCCGGAGCGGGATCGGCGGCCGAGTGGGCTAGAGCACACCAGCTCGGAGCACGCGGAGCGAAAGCTCGCGCAACAGAACCCAGGGATCCTGGGTTCAATCCGCACCCCTGCTCGTTTCGATCTGGATGAACATCCTACAGGCGCGCTTTCGTGTATCATTACTGCGTGATGCACGTTAAAGACCCTGCGCTATCAGTTGTACTGCATTGGCTAAAATTTTCATCTACAGCTGGGAGACTCGTCGGCCGTTGAGGCAGACCAAATTCTAGGCTGTATAAACATACACACTCCCCAATTTTTCTCTGGAGCCATAGCTACAGGTTCAGCGCACGTGATCAGCGCATTCAGAAAACTAACTACAAGAGCACGCCCACGAGGCTTTGCGTTGCCTCTAATTTGCACGTGCTCACCCCAGCTTTGACGAAATTGGAGCCCTGCAGAAGTGGGCTAAAGCGCACACCCAGCTCGACGCGCGTGGAGTGAAAGCTCGCGCTGCAGAGCCCAGGGATCCTGGGTTCGAGCCCCACCCCTGCCCGTTTCGATCTGGATGAGCATCCTACCGACCTGGGCTCGTGTATCACTACTGCGTGGTGCACGTTAAGGACCCCAGGCTAGTGGTTGTACTGCACCGGCTAAATTGCTCATCTACCGCGAGTGACTCGTCGCAACTTTAAATGGCTGACCAACTGCACGCTGTAAAAATATCCCCATAACCCAATTTGCAATTTTTGCCCTGCAGACGTTACGCTAACCTTGATGACGTAGAACAAATTAGTTCTGAACACGTCGACGCGTGCACCGCCGAAACGTGCCCCACATGTCCTACACTTCGTTTCACGCTCAGTGCGAGCGAAAGCAATGTGAGGTCGATGTTGACACGTCACGAGCTCACCTTCGCTCGTATTTATGGTGAAAGAGAGAATGAAGAGTCATAGAACAAAGAAATGATACAAAACATAGATGTAATCTATGTTTTGTATGTAGATAGTGTAATAGATGGCAGGGTAGATCTATGTCATCTATGTTTTGACTGCCTACGCTAAGCCTATTTCGTATTTACAAATTCTGATAAGCATGAGTCCACGTGGGAACCTATCCAAACGCGGATTAAAATCCGGCTTGCTTAATTTTGAGATTAAAATAAAAATGTAAATAAATATTTACATTCCCGGTGCACTTTACTTTGTTTCGATTCCTTACATCAGTGAATGCGATTTTCCGCTGAATAAACTTCTTTTTTATGTACTTGATCACTAGCGCCACTTGCACATACAACGCTTTTGCTTTACACCACGCGTGGCCAAGGCTTTCGTAACTTGTGGTGCGGTCCGTGCAGACCGCATTCCACGTGTGTTGGCGGTGTAAGGTGAGTCAGATGGGTCGTTCCCGCTTTAAATAAATACTAAAAATCAGTTTCTCATACTGCGGCACTAAGCGTTGACATTGGTGCAGCGAGAGCAGTCTTGCCTCTTCTTGAACTTAGAAATACCAGCCAACATCTAAGCCTTTCTCGTGTCGGAAGTTTTGCGTGTCGCGTTTCATTTGAAAAACTCAAGGCTTAGCACATGTCGGTTTTAAAAAAGCATTTCTTGCTTGAAGCTTGTGAGGCAAGTTCGCTTTCGCGAAGAAAACGCACCACCAGGATGCAATTACGTAGCATGTGAAACTGATATTTGTTGTTTATTTAAATGTGGGACGATCAATTTGACTGAAGCACCCGGTCATTCTTTTCAGTCTGGAAAGAACTCGGGGTCTTAGCGAACGGAAAATTGAACACGCGCGCTCAACGCCTCTGCAATGTACGCAGATTTAGTTGAGCAGCATGTTTTTCACATATATTTTCTTGAAGCGCCGACTGATTTGCGATTAGTTAATTTGTTCTGGAATAAACACCGGCCTCTGGAATTTGATGAAATGTGTTCTATTGTTTTTTTTCTTTCTAATTTACACATCCAGTGCAACAGTTTGTTTTTGGCGTTTTTGTGAAATCAGACATGGGGGGTGCTGTTTTGCGGACCCTGCTTGCGGTTGCGATGTACTGTCGGCACGGGTGTGTCAATAAAGCCCGACGATCGCGTCACGCCGGCAAGCGCAATATTCTTGAAAAGGAGGAAACTGTTCCTGGCCAAAGGTCTAAGCGCAGATTCTCGTGTACGAAGCTGTATGTCACTGGCTTTGTGATAATAGCGTGAGAGTCAAATTTAAGCGCAACGTAAGAACGGATTTTAAGTTGATGTAAGTAAAAGTGGCCGTATCGAGTACTTCAGGGTCCGATGTCAAGCAAGTTCCAGACAAAAAATAATGAACGACGGTAATTGCCCGTCGTTCCTTCGCGCGCTGATCTTGCAAAAATAAACGACACCCGAAACCAGTGGCGTCACGAGGGTCAGCGGCACTCGCGGCGGTAGCCCGCCGCGACACCCCCCTCCTTCTCCCCCCCCCCCCCCCCCCCCCCCGCTCCGCTCGTGCGTGGCCGCGTGACCCGCCGCTCCCCCCCCCTCCTCTCCTCCCTCCGCTCTCGCGTGGCCCGCCGCGAACTCCCTCCCCCCCCCCCCCCCTCCGCTCTCGCGTGGCCCGCCGCGCCCCCCCCCCCCTCCCCCCGCTTCCCGTCGCGACCCCCCCCCCCCCCCCCCCTGAGCGCAGCACCCGGGCGCGGTCCCCCCCCCCCCCCCCCCCCCCCCCCCCTTGTGACGCCACTGCCCGAAACCACTCCCCGGCAGTTCCGTGGAATCCTGGAGCCAGTGAATACAATGAATCGCCACGAAATCCTTAAATCTTGGCAGCCGCCTGTCTAACCTGGTCGGCTCGGACCAGGACAATACAAGGAACGCCGAGGAAATCACTTCCCTGGCAGTTACGTAGAATCCCGGGGCCAATGACCACGCTGAAGCGCCACTAAGACTTCAATGTTGGTGGCCGCCTGTTTACCCCGGTCGGCTCGGACCAACAAAATACAAGGAACGCCAAGGGAATCACTTCCCTGGCAGTTCCGTAAAATCCTGGGGCCAATGAACACACTGAAGCGCCAATGTTGGCGGCCGCCTGTCTACACTGGTCTGCTCGGACCAAGAAAAGACGAGGAACGCGAAGGAAATCCCTTCCCTGGCAGTTCCGTGGCATACCGGTGCCCGGGAAATACGGTGAGACGCCAGGCTGGCAGTTCACCGAATTCCCTGGGCGGTCCCGGTCCAGTCTACTACGGCCAAGGCCCCATCCTGGCCCCAGCTAGCCCAAGCAAGTGTGCTGCTTGGGGTTATTACCGTATGCTCCCATGCTATTCCAACTCAATGACACTAGTGGGTATTTGCGCTTAATTATTGATCGGCCATTAACTGAGAGGTCCCTAATGTGCATAGGACTGCTGTCTGTCAGAGGAATGTCCTTCAATATAGTAAATCCTCCAGATGGCAGCAATATGATGGGCGATTCTTCGTCGGATTCTGGGACAGGGTTCTATATACGTAATAAACACAAAAACGTGCATCAAAAACTGGTTATACAAACCTTCCTGATCATGAATGCGCTCAAAACTGTGTTTTAATTGCGTCTTTATTTGTCCCGTTTATAAACGCCTATAAATGTTTAAATTTGTGCCCTGTAAAATAAACATCACAACGAAACCGATTACATAGGTTTGATTAAGAGTTTCTTTTTCTGCTAAGATATGTGTCTGTTTGTATTAGCGCTTCTTGAGAGCGAAAACAAATCGTAATAAATTTGATTCACAATAAAGAAGAGCAAAGCAGATATTATATAAATGTTTTAGAGGAAAGATGACAAGCAGGAAAGTAAAATTTAGCAAAAAACTCATAATATATTGACTACAGCTGTTTAGTTTTACAAGGGGTTTACTCTTTAAAATACATATCATGGATCTTATTGGTTGATTCATTTTTTATTCTCACCTGTACTGGCTCTGACCTTAAGAACCCGATGAAAAGAAGTCCGCCTGTTGGCTAAATGATTTCGTTTTTTATCAATGGCCAAGAACCAAAAAAACAAGATTTTAGGTAGAAGCAGGAATCAAAGAGTACACGAACTGCGAGAGGCGTACTTCATTAGGAAGATTTAGCAAAATGACATGTTGACTGCATGGTATAATGCCATAATATACGTTTTTTTTTAATATAGAATTTTATGTAAATGGGTAGAAGGGTATCTTG